CGTGGATGGCTTGCCGCATTACATCCCCAGAACCCCCTGAAAGTTGATGAGATCCTTTTCAGCACCCCCTGAAGATCGAATCATAGAAACAGAGAGAGTCAGAAGGGGCCTCCCGGGCCATCGAGTCTGACCCCCGGCTCCAGCCAGCTCCACTCACGACATGCCTATATTAGTATTCACAGAAGTTTTGCCTGTCCAACCAGGCAGTGTTGCTGGCTGCACTTGATCTACAAGATCCTGCTTCAGTAGTTTATGTCTTTTTCCCCCTTCCGCTTTATGCTTCTCCACTCAGGAGTTTTACTGAACCTAGAGCAGTGCACACGTTTTGTAAATGTATCAGTCAGAATCTGTGGAGTTGGACACCGTTCCCCATGGGCAGGCCTACATGCCGTTACTGCTTTGCCCCCAAGGCATTTATTTATTTTACTTATTCAATTGTATTTATTCAATTTTACTTATTCGATTTATATGCCACCTTGTTAGCCAGAGGCTCCTTGGGCTGCCTAAAACACAATAAAACCCACAATATGCAACATAATATACAACATAACACAATAAAACCCACACTAACCAAGAAACAATACAAATCCATAAGTAAAAGCTGCTAAAATTAAATAGGATAAAATAAGGAAGATAAAACAAATAGGATGAAGATCAAACAGGAGGAGCCAAAAATTAAAACGACATAAACCAATTAAAACGTAATTAATATCAATGTCTAGCATACATTGATAGAATCATAATGCGGCGGCATTGAATGGTTTAAAATTGTTACTAAAATCAGCCAATGATGCGTCACTGCACTGGAAACTTGTGCTGCCAGGGCAGGAGAACCACCCTGGCTGCCTCTCCGAGGTTGGAACCGGACCTTGGAGAGGAGGAAAGGGGGCGGGGCCAAGCGGGGCAGGGGCTTTGCCAAGGCGACCGCTATCTCCAGCGGAGCCAGGTGCTCTTCCCCTCCCGCTCCAAGGTGCTGCATCCAGGAGGCGCCGGAGGTCACCACTGCTGCTCCTTGCGCCACGCGCTGGACACACACCAGCCCTGGAATTGGGGGGGGGGGGGCTTCCAAGGGACGGCTTTGGACTGCCCCTGAAGTCATGCACCTAGGTTCCTGCGAGCATCCCTTCCTCCCTCTCTGCCATCGCTTGGCAGAGTCGAAGCCAATTAGCAGCATGGTCTGGCTCTCCTTCAGCTTCCTTTCCCTTTTGTGTGAAGTATCCCAAGAAAGAGAAACGAAACGGAATGGCGAGAGCCCTCAGGATGAGTCCTTGTGGGCTGGGAAGCGCAAATCAATGCAGTCCGGCCCAGGCGTGTGCGTCTGTGCCCCCCCCCCCCCCGCCACCACTCCAGCAGCCTGAAAGGCATCCTAGCCTCTGGAATGCAGCCGCAATAAGAAGCGTGAGTGGCAGGGGAGGGATCCTTAATGAGGGGTCTTATTTAAGGATGGACTGCGAGGACACCTCAGGCTCATCCCAGTCCGCTGGGCGAACGGAGGTGCCGCGCATCTGGAAGACGCAAGACGGTAAGTATGCGAGCCGAGATGCCACCCTCAGAGGGAGCGGGGTGGCTCTGGACCTGACCTGCAAGGTTTTCCTAGTGAGAAGGACAAGTTGAGTGTTTCTTATGCCGTGTTTTGTACTAGCTTTATCCATCGTTCCCTTATTTAGGGCGCCTTTCCGTAAGCGCTAGTTTCAGCTTACGTCCACACAGAGCCAGTGTAGAAACAATGAAACAGAGCGAGTCAGAAGGGGTCTCCCGGGCCATCTAGTCTGACCCCCGGCTCGAGCTGGCTCTGCTCACGACATGCCCACCATGTGGACGTCCCGCCTATCCTTGGACACCCGCACCGATGGGGCCTCCACCACCTCCCGTGGAAGCCCATTCCACACCCTCAGGGCCCCGACTGTCAGGAAGTGCTTCCTGGCATCCAAACTGAGCCTTGGCTCCTGAGCTTTGCTCCGTTGGAGCACGTCCTGCCCCCCTCTGCAGGGGAGAACAGGTCTCTGCCCACCCCCATGTGACACCCCCTCACATGCCTGTATGTCGCCAACAGATCCCCTCTGAGTCTCCTCTTCTCCAGGCTGAAGAGACCAAGTTCCCTCAGTCTCGCCTCATACGGCATCCCCTGCAAACCGGCCACCAACCTTGAGGCCCTGCGCTGCACTGACTCCAACCTGGCTATATCCTTCCTGTAACGAGGGGCCCAGCACTGAGCACAAGACTCTAGCATAATTTAGGTCACAGTGTTTGACTGCAACTTGGGACATGTGGGTTCAAGTCCCCCTCAGTCACAAAGCTTACTGCGTGACCCTCCGCTGAACCTACCTCATAGGGCTGTTGTGAGAGCCAATGTGGCATAGTGTTTAGACTCTTGGACTGGGACTTTGGAGATCTGGGCTGGAGTCCCTGCCTGGCCATGAAGCTCACTTGTGACTTTGGACTGGTCATGGACCCTTGGGCTGGCCTACCTCACAGGGTTGTTGTGACAATACAATGAAGAGGTGGGTCAAGATCCTTGCAAGGGGGGGAAGTGGGTTATAGTGGGCTAAGAACAAAAATAGTCCCGATAACAAGAACTGCTCAGTTTCAGATCCCAAACACTTTTAATTTTTGCTGCCTTGGGCCAATTAAAATACCAAGCGGCATTTCAACAGCATTTGACCTCACCGAGCCCCAGTCGGGTTGAAACAGCCTCATTTTAAATCTTAATTCTAATAATGGAGCCCCTCTGCCTTTACTGTGTCCCTGGGTAGCACTGCTCATCCAGAATCAACCCTCCGAGTTGCCCAGAAAGAAGCAGTGGAAATACGGCCCAGTCCAATGGCAAGCTCCGTTTCCCCGTCACTGCAGGGCGTTTGTTAGCACATCCCAGCCTGCCCTGGGATTGTGGCCCCTTGGCTCTCGCCCACTTTGTCCTGCAGAAGGGGCCACGGAGCCTGCCCACCCGGATGCAGGGAGCTTCCCAGTGCGAGGCTTTGGTTTCCAAAGAGCTCCCGAAGCGAAGCGGCTGCTTTCTCCCTTGCTGAACCAGGCTCGGGGCCAAACCTTGCGGTCAGAGCACACTCCTGATCTCAGGGCTGGCACCCTCGTGTGATTGCATTCCTGGGCACCACCTCATTTCAAGGAGAAGCCTCATTTCATTGGAAAGGGTGTACTGAAAATGTGGTACAGCCCCCCCCGATGCATCTCCCCACAAACTGCACCCCCCGGAGGCTGCATCACCTGCCCCACTGGTGCATTTGCAATACTTTCAGCAAGGCAAAATGCGTCTCCTTTACGCCTCTCAGCTGCCCGTTCATTTCCTGCTGCGATGCCACCGAATTTCACAGCAGCGTGAGAGCAGGGGCTCTGTAGACGTCTGTGAGCACACGCCTGTCCCCATGTTTAAATGGAGAACTCTCCTCTGAAAAGTGGGACACGTGGCTGCCCTGTGAGACAAGTAGTGGGCAAACTTTAGACTAGAGCCTGGACCCTGGATGAGAATCAGGCTGGCCTCTTCCAGTGGTCCCAGGGCGCCCACCAGCCTCCTGGTCGGCCAGCCCAAGGATAAGATGAAGCATTCCTGCCACTTGGCACTCATGGATTGCGCAGATGTCTTGTAAAGCAGTGAACAGGTACAGAAAAACAAATTAATCATCATATTTAGACAGCTTAATTTGGCAAGCTTGGAAGACTGAGGCAGTGCGGGTCACGACTGATTTTATTATTCTGTGATTCACGGGACTTGGTGTGGGGTCTGCTCTGAGCTTGAATATGGGCTTTTAGAGGGCATAATATTTATATCTGCGTTGCTTTGCTCTCCATCTGTGAAATGAAGTCCCTCTTTCGAAATGTGAAATCCGAACACCTTTTAAAGTCCACCTTATTCTTGTCTCATAGGATGAAGTGCAATATCAGGGCTGGATTGTTTATTGAACTGTTCTGTAAACCATAAATTGCAGGCTTTGGTACCAAAGAGTGTTTACTCATTAACAATAAGCTGATGACTATAAAAATAAACCCATAGTTAATTTTTACACCATTGCTTCTCTGAGCACCTTGGCTACACATTAACCTCTGCACAGTCTCCAGTAATTCACTGAATATAGGACACAACCAAAATGCAGTCAGACTGTGGGTGCATTTGTGCGCCAGTATTGTTCATATTGGGGTACACAGTCCTGGGCTGAATGTGGCCCCCTGCTGCAGGCTCCCAGGACCCTGCTCACGGATCTCCGCAGCCCAGCTGAGATCTGCACATCTGCTCAGAGCAAGTTTTCAGCGTTTCCAACTGAGCTCTGTAAAACCACAGATCGTGACACACGAGAACAAAGACCCCCTGACTTTTAAAATGCAAGCCTCTGGTTTCCACATCGTCTCCCTGAGTGATCATTTTAAAATCCCCCAAATGTATGGACTTAGTGAGGTCCTTTGAAACCTGCTCACTATGCAACAGTCCTGCAAGGAGAGCAAGAATCCCACAGATTTTTGGATTTGAAGGTAAGGGAAATCCTTAATGAAAGAGAGGTGCTCCATCCCCTGAGCCCCAATTTTAGCTAAGCAGTGCATCCCCTCTGGACAAACCATGAACCACCTGGAAGGAGAGCCTACAGTTTGTTCTTGTGTTGTGAACTCTGGTTGGTTTAAAGCATGGTTCTTGGTATGGTGTGAATCCAGAACACGGGTGATGCACGGCTTGACTTAGCAGGCTGCAGAGCGTGTCAGTTAAGAGTGGCCAATAAAACCAGGCATGCGACATGCAAGCATTGCAACCGAGCAAAGGCATCTGGGATATCAGGAAGGCCAAGAACACTCCACAGTCTGGTGTGATCCTCTGGCACAGACCCTGGGCAGGGCAACCCGCCATGGGTCCGTGGGCTGGCATGATGCATGGCCCAGGGCACTGATGAATGACTCTTGGGATGTCCACCACATGCCCACCCTTGGGGCTTGCTCCAAGCGAAGCCAGTGCCTTCAGGTAGGTTAAACTAAGCCTTCTTTCTTTGGTGCCTGCTCTACAGATGAAGATTTCCTGCCCCTTCTCCTGCTGCCTATTGCTGGGCTTTGGTGCCTGCTTCCCTCCAGGGGAAGGCTGTGAGCTGAGATGCCCCGGAGGAGGAGAATTCCAGGTGATGGAGGAGCCGCCCAGCCCCCTGGGGGAGGCCGAAGGCCCAAAGCGGCGCCGTTCCCCCGAGGACCCCAACGGCCCTCTCTTCGGCATAGCGCAGGGGCTGCAGAAAGGGTTCCGGAAGGAGCGGGCCGGCATCCAGTTCCGCTTCGGGAGGCGGCCGGATGGCCCACGAGACGAGAGCGAGGCAGCAAGCTTCCTACCCAGGCAGGATGGGCAGAAACGGGGCACTACCTTGGGCAGCCTTGCGGAGGAGCTGAATGGGTACAACCGGAAGAAGGGTGGGTTCAGCTTCCGCTTCGGGAGAGGAAGGAGAAGAGACACCTTCGTCTGAAGACTGCCCCACCACGCAGCCGGAGCCCCTGTAGCCCTGGGGCTCCTGGCTGGCCCGCGATTGCCCCCTGCCCCTCTCCGCCCTGCAGAAGTGCCAAACGGAGCGAGTCCTGCACCGCCTCCTCGGTTTCCCTCGGCCGCGAGTCCTGCGCACTGGGGCCTGTCAGGGCGACGTAGGCGGGAAAATGCCAGGCCGGCCTCCTCGGAGGCAGGTGGGTGGGTGACGCACCCCAGGCCCCAGCACCACCGGGGCTGTCTGCCTGCGCCCCTGCGCCTTGGCCGTGACCAGGGCGCGCATGGAGCTGCTCAGGGGTCCATGCACCGAAACGTGTGCAGGGTCTCCGGGGAGGGATGGGAGGACAGTGGGATGCCCAGAGCACAACGGTGGTATCCCTGCCCCGGCTCACCCTGGGGGTTGGAGGGCCGCGTCTTCTGCTGCAAGGGAAAGTGAGGCAGCGGGCACGAATGTGCAGATTATGTGGGCTCCCGTCTCTTGCCCTAAATAAAATATCCCCTTAAAACGAATTCAATGCGTGGTTTTTTGGGGGGAGCGGGGGGGTACGACCCTCCCTGGTTCGACATTTGCTCCTCTGCAGAAAGCAGTTTGCTGGGCTTGGTGAGCTGCTCTTTAGGAGACCTCATCCCTGTGGCCGGTGGAGGGCAAAGCCAAAGGGGGGGGGGGGCAAAACGGCAAGAAGATACCCCACTGTGCTGTAGCTTAAGCCTCCAAAGCCCCGAGGGAGGGGTTTCTGAGGATGGGGGAAAGGCCCAAAGCTGGGAGAGCTCCCCATGATGGGCCACTGGGCTTCAGCCCTGACCTGCACATCCCAAGCATGCCCCTTGAAGCAGGGGTGGGCGGGTGCTGAACCTGCAAAAGGCATGGACTCCGTTTCCCAGGAGCCTCCGGCAGCATGGCCATCTCCCAGCATTCCTGGGCACTGAGGATCCTGGCACGCAGAGGTGCATCCTGGGTCCATGTCTGCAGATGCACTGGTGGAAACGAGGCCTCTGAAAGCAACATCTCCACCTGGCCAAGAGTCTCGGTGCTTTCCTTTTCTGCAGCAGCCCTGTTGCCCTGGAACGGAGGGAAGGGAAGTCCCGGAAGCTGGGGCAGGGGGCAAACGGCCGTGGCTGCACCTGTTGTCATGTCATAATCCAGGTGGAGGGAGCGTGAACTGAAGCCTGCCGCTGCAAGGCGATTTAGAAAGGCTGCCCTGAGGACTCGTGGCCCGTGAAAGCTGGGCTGAGATGAATCTCCCCTGGTGGGTGGGACCCAGTCACTGCAGCCATCGCCGTGACACGGGTGGCCGAAGGTGCTCCTGGCTGTGGCGCGGGAGGTGGGGGGATGCAGGGTCAGAGCACGACCCCTCTCCACAGGGAACCCCTGCTGTCAGGCGGGAAAAGGGGCCACCCGACTTTGCCTCTCTTTCTCTGGCCCATTCCTGCAAGCTACGCTCCGGCTGCAGGTCCCTCAGGGGCGCCAGATCTTTGGTGGGATTGGAGTAAGATTCTCAGCTTTCAATGTGCCTCTAAACCGGTGACCAGGAGGGCAGACTGTTCAAGATTCAGTGGCTGAGAAAGAAAAGAAAAACCGGCCGCGTTCAAGCAAACGACCCACGCTTTCCAACATCTCCTCATAAGCTCAAATCTTCTGTTACTACAAAAGACAAGAAGTCAGCCGTCCCCTCTTTCTTTTAATGAAGCAAACTGCTTCATCCATACATTTGCTACACTTTTCTACTGCCCCTCAGCTAAACTTCTTTGAGTGGCTCAGAGATTAAAACCCTAAAATGCAATGTAGTAACATAATAGAAACCAGCACAACATATTAAACTGCAGATCCCAATAGAAACTTTATCATAGACTGTCAGATTTCTCGGAGTAGAGGGACATCTTACCTTAGCACCCAAAAGATGACACTGTTGGCAGCAATCAGCAATCGGGGACACAATTCTGCAATCGAGGGGCTGCCACTGGCAAGCCCCTGTCCTCCTTCAGAGAAGCCACTTAGAAGAGGGTCTCCTATGAGGTGGAACATACCTGAACCTTGGCCTGCAGGTTTAGTAGGACATGGGCCTGGTTGCAGATTGGGTCGAGCATCACCCCTTTGTGATAGAAAGGCCTTCCCTCTGATTGTGGGGGATCTAGCCAAAACGGTGCAGAAAACGTGCAGATTCAAAGCAGAATACTCCAGTACTCAGGGGAAGGCCAAAGTAAAAGGATAAGTATTTGGGCTCTTTTTCAAAAGTCTGCAAGGAAAGGGCCTGATGAACCCCCTGGCAACAGTTTTCTCTGTCATTGTTCTCAAGAGTTTTGGTTCGTCATCTTGGTGGTGCTGGGGCCATTTACTCATCCTGGGAAACCCCGTAACCAAGCTTTGCAAAGAGAGTCGAGGTACCTCTTTGGATCCCACTCGACAAACCAACTCTGCTCTTTATCTGCATCCACAGCAGGCGTGCGAAGCTGACTGATCGGAGCTGCCCGTTCAAAAACAAGCCACTGCAAAATATTGGCAGTGTGGCAGGAACCGGGATCGCAGGGGCTGCAGCAGAGCTCAGAAGGAAGCAGGAATTCAGAAGGAAGCAGGGTGAGGAGAGCAGAGGGGGTCGCAGTCCCTGCTGAGAAAAGACGTCTTGGAACTGCATCCCAGCAAGCCCTGGTTTCACTACACCCCTCCCTCTTCTGCCGTTGCGTCAAGGGTGCCAGCCGCTGGTCTGGGCGAAAGGGAGAGGGAGGTGAGCAAGCGGGGTGCAATGGCGAGAGAAGGTGCAGGTCCAAGCAGCTCTTCTCAGGGCCCCTGCCAAGGTGTGGACCCTCAGCAAGTGCCCTCCAACCCGGTGCTTGACACCAGCGCACCAGCGCACACGAGGGTTGAAACGTGCGGACTGAATATCCCCTCCCCCATGGTGCCGGGGCAGGGGCTGAGTCGGGTTGCCAGTGCCCAGGGACAAAATCCCATGGGGCAGGAGTGGGGCAGCATGTAGATGAGGGCGGGACAGCCAGGGGTGCCCTCAACCCCCACCCCGAGCCCATTAAATGCAAAGAAAGATGCTGCCTCCCCCCCCCCCCACCCGCCACTTGAGCACAGCCGGTGGAGTCGCAGTTCCTGCAAGCTCAGCGGAGCAGCAGAAAGCACGGCTGGCTCTGAGATCTAATTAGGGAGAGAGGCCTTTTATTAAACGATTATTAAATCCCTCACAAGTGATAAAGCGGCTGACAATTTCACAGGGAGCCTGGCCCTGCTGTCAGAGTGCCATGCCTGGCTTTAACCCACGATAGGGGAAGTTGAGGCTGGCCATGAAATCCTCTCCCTTTCCAGGAAGGAAGGAAGGAAGGAAGGACAGACTAATTTAAAAGAGAGGCAAGTTTGGGGTCCAAAGCAGACTTGCCCAAGGGTACCCCAAAATCTGGAGCAAATCTGGGGAGAAAAACCATCTGCATGACACCCAGAGACGAACTAGAGTTTCTGTCTTCCCCACAGGTTGAGGGATGTGTGATAGAGGGTTTGTCCCTGAGTAGTATGTGCACTCTTTCTGCTTCCGGGATGGATTGAATAGGTTTTGCAGGCTGGTGTAGCATTTCAAAAAACCTGCCAAACCTGTTTGGCCCTGATGCTAGCAGGACAAAATAAATAGGTGTGTTTATGTTCTGGAAAGCTAAACCTTTCCAATTCCACTTTTGAAACTGTTGAATTATGTTGTCTGTCTCTCTAGAACAAAGGTGTGGAAACTTAGAATCCTAGAACAGTAGAGTTGGAAGGGGCCATGAAGGCCATCAAGCCCAACCCCTGCTGTTGCATGACACCATGTTACACCATCCCACTCAGAAGGCCACCCAAATTCTCTCTGAATGTCTCCATTTGTGTGACATTTTCCCTCCAGAACCACATTTCAGGGGTGGGTGAGGCAGAAGCAGCGGGGCAAAATGCAGAACATACATGGCTGTTTTAGGTAGAATCTCTTGCTGCAGGTGACTGACTTTTTGGGCAGGTATTTTGGCCTTTTAGAATGGGGCAGAAAACTGCACAAGGGCCAGGAAATCCTCCTACGACTGATGAGCCAGGGAAGGGGCACGGCCTCCCCAGGATCCCTGAAAGGGCAGGTTTGGCCCCTGGTCCTGGCAGCTCTGCTTTAGAACTTCGCCTGCTTCAGAACACGGACCGGCCACGTTCGTCTTCCTTGCTAAGAAATCCACACTGGTTATCATTCGAAATTTAAGCACATCTAGGGGATGCCATCAAACATCCCTCCAGGGAGACACAGTTACTGTGATAATAGAATTGCAAAGGTTTTCAGCAGGAATGCTAATAAAAAAGAGACGAAATGAAACAGCGCATCCCCCCACCTGCACAAAAGGGCTAGCCGACAAACCCTACCCTGGGAAACCTGGAATCCCACAGTTGCAATTCCAGGGAGGGACAAACAGCTGGGTGGGAAAACAGGACCACCATGGCCTTGGCATCGGTGTCAGTTGTGGTAACCTGGGAAGGCTCCCGTGTTGGACTGGGGACCAGGGAGATCCAGGTTCTAGTCCCCACGCAGCTCGGGAGTTCCCTGGGTGACTGCCCAGTCACAGACCCCGTCCTCCTTTTAGAAGCCCCGAAATCCAGGAATTTCCCTCGCTTGTGTCGGGGAAGCCTCAATGGCAGCCACAACAAGGATCACCAGGTTCAGTCAGGAAAGACCCCTTTCGCCTCGAACCCCGGCATTTTTATGGGTGAGATCGCCCAGGCCTCCGGCAGTGACTTACGACAGCATGCGCCCACATAATCTACACCATCTGCACCACCATCTACAAGCTTTTAGAACATGCACAGAGTGTTTTATAGATTCTGAGTCACGTGGTCCCAGCAGCTGGGCAGTGGATGAGGAAATAAGGTGAACACAGGCAGAAGAAGGTGAGGGGTCCGCAGAGGGGCATTTGATTGCAGGATATGAACATAAGGATCATGGGACTATTGTGAGCCTTGGTGTGCAGATGGGGGTGATTGCAATGCTGTTT